ACATTTACAAAAGCTGCCCGGGACCAGACTGAGCGGCGCCGGCCTTGCGCGCATGCGCAAGGCGGGGAAAGACCGCCTTGTGATTGGTTGGAATTGCCCGGGGATCAGAGGGTATAAATAGAGGCCTGTGTGCCTCTGCTTGGGTTGTTCGTTGACTGTAGTCAGAGAATAAAGACATGTTAGAAATGCATTGCTTCAAGCGCCATTATTCTCCGGACTTAACACTATTGATTTCAGCCAAGGTCAGTCTAATATTAGACAGTGTCATTTATAGTGGCATATAGATATAAAACTGATAGTGGAAAAATATAGCATACATCTTTCCCATTGGGGACATGTAAAACTCACATATTTTAGTGTGTGTGTAATAAATGCAATAGGTATAAATTCATGTTCCTATATATTTATTCTACAACAGTCTTCAAGAGAGAATACATTATATTATAACATTTCAAGGTTTAAAATTTGAACAATCTTAGTATTAAAATGAATACACAAGCAAGTGTTTTACAGCAAATCTCCCCAGTCTGGTTTCCAAATCAGCACTGAAAACAAAAGAAAAATAGTAAAGTTGCTCAATGACCTTCTTGAAAGACTTGAATAAGATGCTCTACCGTGTGGTTGACCTGGTCTCAAGATTGAAATAAACCTCTTTCCAATATGATTGTCATCTTCTATCATGGTTGCCATTGTGAAATAATCATATCAGTGAATGGGGATGGAGAGACGCAACCATATCACCCTGATGGTAGGACAGGCCCAAGTAGTCTACCGTTTGAGGCAAAATAAAATTTCCTTTTTTCCCTATTTTCTCCCAATGGAGCAAAGGCTCAAATTATCCTACAGAAGTGATTGACTTTTTTCATCCAAGAAGAGGGAGGGTAGTGTTTATGTCTACCTATCTAAGAAAGTGGTTGTTATTAAAACTGGACAGATTGATACAAATTTTCCAATAGAAAGAGCCAGAAAAGAATTTACCAAAAAGCTGCAAAAAATATGCATCATCTTCTGATAACATTCAAGTGGAAGGGAACCCAAACTGATTTGACCAAAGCCCTTTTAACTTCCTTATTCCTCAGGCTGTAGATCATTGGGTTTATCATGGGAGTGAGAATCCCATACAACATTGAAACAATTCTGTCTTTCTTGGGTGAGTAAGTGGAAGTGGGCCGGACGTAGGTCCCAATAGTTGTCCCATAGAAGAGGCAAACGACAGCCAAGTGGGAACCACAAGTGGAAAATGCTTTTCGCCTGTCCTCAGCAGAGCGCATCCGTAAGATAGCTGAAATTATATAGATATAAGAGATCAGGGTAACTAGAAAAGCACCACCCCCTAAAACACCAGCCACAAGGAGGAGGACAAGCTCAGGGACAAATGTGGAAGAGCAAGAAAGAGCCCTAATGGGAGAGATGTCACAGTAATATTGATTAACTTTATTGGGCCCACAGAAAGATAATGTAAAGGTCAATGAGGTATGAATCATAGAATTTGTGAAGCCAGTTAGCCAGGTCCCAGCTGCCAATTGAGCACAGAGTCGCTTGCTCATAATATTGGTGTAGTGTAGGGGGGTGCATATCGCCACATAGCGGTCATAAGCCATCAGTGCAAGCAAAAAGATTTCAGTGCCCACCACATAAATCAGGAAGAAGAGTTGCAGCATGCAGCCAACTAACGATATTCTCTTGTCCTCTGACAAGAAGGTCTGGAGCATTTTTGGCACAGTGACAGTTGGACAAAGGATATCCAACAAAGATAAATTGCACAGAAAGAAATACATAGGAGTCTGGAGGTGGGCATCTGTCGCTGTTGCTATAAGAATTGCCCCGTTCCCTGCCAAAGTGGTCAGGTAGGCCAGCAGAATCACCACAAACAGAGAGATGTGCACTGCAGGGAGATCAGACAGTTCAGTGAAGTAGAAGTCCTTTACTCCTGTGTTATTAGCCATTTTCATGCCAGGTATCCTGAAGAAGAAGTATCTGAAAACAACGAAAACATGTATTTAAAGCATACCTTGTGTATTCAGTCTTTTCTTTTTATTTTTACTATAGCTACCTAAGAATCTTCACTTCTGAAGAAAAGTGTTTCTCATTACTTGTTTAAATCATACTGTATATAGACAGCAGTTTTCCATCAAAAATTTAAAAGATGTTTGCAGTTCAAACCAAAATTTGAGAAAGCAAATAGGTTATGGAGACCATATGGCAGCAGTCCTCAACCTTTGCAGCGTGGGGCCCAGATGGGGTGGGATGGAGCCACAAGATCACTTGCATGTGTAGCTCCACTCACACAAGAAAGAAGAGAAGCCTTTGGAGTGCTGCAAAGGGTCAGAAGGCCCGAAGCAGCGCAAGATTGCTCCCCCAAAGCCTTTCATACATTTGCAAAAGAAAAGCCTTTGGGAGTGCAGACTTATGCTCTTTCAGACTCATGGAGTATGCATGACACTCCAAAAGCAGATCAAGTGTCCTGCTCAGGCAGCTTCGGTGACTTAACAAAGCTGAGCAGGGCGCACACATCCCACTCAGCCTCTGCTCTCGCCACTCTGCTTTTGGAGCAGCCATTGGGAGCAGGTGGCTTGGTGACCCGGCTGGGGGCGGGAGAGGGGAACTGGGCTGTGCGAGTGGCGCGCTGGCACACACGTGCACAGCTCCACTCACACAAGAGAGAAGCCTTTGAGGAGCCACTCACGAGACTGAGATGGACGCACACACCGGCCCACCTCTCACACAGCCCGGGTCCAAATAGGCCCCAGCCCTGTAGTGGGCTGTGGGTCAGAGGTTGGGGACCCCTGCCATAGGGTGAATTAAGAAAAAAATTCAACAGAGTAGTACACTGTGGAAAGTTATAATTGCCAATAAAAGTTCAATTAAAATACAGGGAAATATAACTATTGTTTTTGAAAACTCCCTTCTGGTATTGGAAAAAAACTAAGTCACTTCCATGTTGATTCCTACACTACAAAATCAACACATTCATGCTTTAATAGATTCAATATTAATAAATAATTATGTTGTATTATAACAAAATTGTACTTCTTTGCCACTAATCCTATTTGCACTCATTTTTTTCTTGATCTTTTAGTCTTCTTCCTTAGTATTTCAGGTCCAAACAGACAAGAATGCTTCCCAAAAGACTTACAAAGCACCTGAGCTTGAATAGTGGATATTTTCTAACATTTCTAAACATAATTTACAGACCTTGTAGTATTCATTCTGACATTACATAGCATATTTTAATATTAAAGCAGTGTAATTTTATCATCAGTAAAAACATAAAATCAATAGAATGTTGATTTAATCCAACATCAATTACAGAATTTTTCATACAATCAACTAAAATCACATATATATATATATATTATCAATGTATAAATGTGTTATGATAAAAAGACCAAACCATTTAGCATATATTTAATATTCATAGTCTGGAATTAATTCTAGTGAAATTCAGGATGAGTCCAAAACAAGACTGAAAAAGAATAATAAAGTCAACAAACATTTAAAACTTAGGAAAAAAATAGGATGAAAATTTGGAACTGATCCAGAATTCAGTGCAACTGGGATCTATTAATTATATCCTATTAAGAGTTACCTCTTATTTTTGCTGAAGCAAACAGATACATTTCCTCATCTTTTTCAGCACAGGAAGAGCACTTAGGTCAGCATCTTAAACCTATAAACCGAATTGCTAAATAAATGACCATTTATGATTGACCTAAACTAAACAGAACTGAAAAATTCCAACAAAAACAATGTGTATATGAGGATTGTTATATTGATCTGAATAAATTAGATCAAATGAAGCTGTAATTACTTTTCACAGAACCCAGCAACAGTCATTTATTTTATTTATTTGTTAAACTTAAATCCAGTCTTTTCTTCAGGAGCTGAGCTGCATAAGCACTGCAGACTCCTCCTATTTTTCCACCTCTCTCCTGTGAGGGAGGCTGGGCTGAAAGAGAGTCTACAGAACATCCAGTAAGTTTCCATGGCTGAGGGTGGACCTGAACCTGCGTCTCCGGGGGGAGGGGCAGCACCTTAATTATCCATCACAACATTTTTACACAGAGCTTTATAGAGAAAGTGTATATTATTCCAGATAAATATAATGCATATTTCAAATAAATAAACCTACACAGTGCATTATTTCGTATATCTGATACAAAAATGTATGAGACTAAAGAGTAACTTACCCCCACTGCCCACGTACATGAAGTGTAATGTGACAGCAGTTTTCAGATCTCCAGCTGATTTCAATTTATTTAAGATATAGATAAACCTACTTGACAAAGAGATCTTCCAGCTTTAAACAAGAGAACACTAAGATAACATTACTTAAAAAATGACACAGTAATGAAATCCTGCTATATATTTTGCGTCTTATGTACTACAAAAAAAAAAAAAAACCTCAAAGGAATACAGTTAGGGAGAATACTGAATACTAATCTAGGTTGTTGTACTTATATTTAAGTATGGTATATATAATCCGTACTGAAGATAGCATCTGAGGACCTGGACCTTTGAGAATATTAAAAAGCAAGGGACTGTTATAAAACTTGCTAAGCCATCTGGCAAATGGAAATATTCTTTGGTATCAAAAGAATCTCAAAATCTTCAACAGAGTACAGTTTAGGAATTAGTTTGAGTCATAGCAACAATCAAATTATTGATGCATTAATTTCTGGAAAAGGATTTTATTTTTTGCTTTCTATATATCTACATGTTAGTCCTCAAATCAAACAAAACAAGTTTTTCAATATGGCAATTATTCATTGGAAGATGGAGAGTTCAGTTTATGAGAACGGCAATATCTTCTCTGAAGGGATCTTATTCAGAAGCTGATGAACTACTGGAAACGCTACAGGCAAAGAAACTAAGGAATTAAGATCCAAAGTGTAGTGGACATGTGGTTTCGGGCCTGGTTCCTTCAAAGCTGCAGTGCAGAAACACTAATAAACACTTCTTGGTCTTGAAAAATTATAAGATTTATTTATGAAAATGTTATGGCTATTCCTACTAGTGCTACTGATGTTCTCATTCAAAAGCGTTATGAAGCATGTTCATACTTGCAGGTGTTACAGGCATGTAAGTTAAACATATCTATGTGACATTGAACCATAGGTATTTAAAGAAAATCTGATACCCCAGAGATTTATTTCAGTCTTTGATCAAAATAAGATAGCAACTGGGCAATACAGAATTAATGATGGAATTATCAGGTGCTTTTATTTTATAAGGATAACCTATAAAATTAATTCTCTATAAAACACTTATCAAATTAAGCACTAAAAACTGTTAAATAGATGAATCTATGAATCCATGCTGTGAAATGAATATTAGTGGTAGCTATAAAACTAAAATCTATAAAGCCAGAAACTATAATATACCATGAAACATTAATAAAATGTGTTAAAACTAGTGTATATACACATGTAGAGTTCCATCAATGCATAAGCTGACCCTCAATATTTTAATTAAATATTGAACCAAAATATTGAACCAAAATATTAACCAAAATGATGGAAAATATGCCATAGGCCAGTGGTTCTCAACCTGTGGGTCGGGACCCCATTTGGGGTCGATCGACCATTTCACGGGGGTCGCCAAGCAAGGCTGTCCGCCATTTTTTTTGTTTGTCATTTTTTTTGTACGCCATTTTTTTCCCCTTTTCCGGCGGGTGCCTTACCTTCCTTGGGCTGGGCCAGCTGGTGGTCAGCCTGCTCCGTCTCTGCCGCTTGCCAGCTACGCCTTGGCTGGCGCAGGGGGCGGAACCACGCATGCGTGGCGCTCCCGGGCAGGGAAAGTCCTCGACTTACGACCGGCTGGGTAGTCCTCGACTTACGACAGGTTTAGTCCTCGACTTACGACCAGTTTAGTCCTCGACTTACGACCGGTTGGGGTCGCGGCATTAAAAAGGTTGAGAACCACTGCCATAGGCGGATAAACTGCCCTCATTTTTCATGGAATTTTAGTTAAAAATTGGAAGGTCAGTATATCTGCAGATGGACTTATAACATGAGTATATGTCCTAGTTTTATTGTTTCATGGTATTCCGTGAAGACTTTTAATACTTATTGAGCAAGTATAAATGCTTGATTAGATCGGAATAAGCACCGAGTACTGAAAATTAAAAAAGGAAGTTTCTAAATTAGAATTGGGATTAAATGGAACATGAGAGGACTTATAGCAGAAAGTACCCCAGTTTGCTTTGGTTTTGTACATATATATCATTACCAAGAGAGAATGATGTTTTTAATGATGCATTTGGGTTTCAGGTTTTATTAAATCCAGGTGTTAAAGGAAGTTTCCAGGAGACAAGAGAAGGAAATGGACTAGAAAGAATATTCAAGTACTAACCAGCAGTGGAGAGTTGCTGAAAAAATGTAGCATGGTATTACAAGGAAAGAATAGCAGGTAACTCATTAGTCTCCTGCATTCTTTTTAGGTTATAGTCTTACCTATTTTAGATGATAAGGAAGATGATTGTTTTAATCTAAATGTCCTGTTGATCTGGTGCACATCACAAGACTTGTCCATACTTAAGCACTTGCATTCCATGGAAATGAAACCACTTTCAGAAACTTATTTCTGGATTTTTGCCTCTTCCTTTGTTTTGAGCACCGTAATGGCCTGGGGTTCTGTCTGGACTACATTTATTATGGCACCTGATTGATGGATCCCCCTTTTTTCTTTACCCTTTCCACATGCGCCAAGAAAACAAGTACTAATGGCATGTGAATTTCTTTGATGGACCTCCTTCACTGACTCCCTTTTTCATTCCTTCTTGCCTGGTACATTGGTGGACCAGAAACAAAGCATCCGTTTTAGAATTTTGTTTTTTGTTTTTTAAATCTAGAAAGAATGGCAGAGCTTTTGTCAATCTCACCTGTTGTTGTTTTTTTTAAGCTCATTTTATTCCATCAGTGAACTAGCAGAGTCCCTGCTTCTCACTTTCCACCGGTAAAGTTGTAAAAAAGGAGAAAAGATGAGAAAAGTCCAGTGTTTCACTAGTCTACCAGAGAAAGAAATAAAAGACAATGTTCATTTCAGAAGGGGATAAGCAAATTGGCAGCTCAGAAAAACTGGCCATGGAGGAGAATGATTGATAACTGGGAGGAAGGATTAAGTGCCTGCTACAGTACTCATCCTAAACAAATAAGTGAGACATCTCATCACCCAACATCTAGTACATCTTTGGAACTTGAATGTGCCCTGTGGTAAAATCTTTGGGCACCCTGATCAGGAAAAGCAATGGAAGTGAGAGCATATCACATTATTGGTCCTGTGAGAAAACCAGTCTGCATTTCTGCTGTTGCTATATGGCTGGCCATGTGGATGCTTTTATTGCACACCAATATGTTTTTTTAAAGCATCAGCTGGAGCCCGGGGCTTTATAGAATCTGGTGACCCAGTATTAGGGATGATCACTGAAGGCTGGTTGATGGGACAGAACAAAGATATTGGTTACATTTGATCCCTCACATCCCCATTCGTATATCCCCCTGTCCATCCATTATTGTAATAGCCTCACCTGTCCTCATCCCATCCCCAACTCTGCCTTCCTCTGCCCCTGCTCCACTTCTCAACTCTCTGGCAACTGGGATCTCTCAACCACTACCCACATTTTCCTCTACTATACACCCTCCCAACTGTTTCCACCAGAGACACTCAGCACCAGGGAAGTAAGACTACAATAAAAGGATCTGTCAAACCACTAACACTCTAATACCTTTCTCAATACACTCATTTATCAGCTTCAATTCTTCCCCAACCACCAAACCTCCAGATTTGATTCAAGTAGAAGCAATATCAAATTCTAACCAAAAGATTGGCTAGCAGCTTCCACTGTACAACAGTTGAAATTGAGGCATTAAAAAATGTAAGAAAGATAGAAAAAAGTCCAGCACCACAGGCCCTATATATACTTGGTATAGACCCAGGCCTCAGCTGCCAGCTACATGCTTCATCAGGATCCAGGCTGACAACACACAAAATTGTTTAATGTGGCTTGTCTCCTGTTAGCACGAGTCCATCCTCCTGTACTCCTGGGTCCAAAATTTATTCGGTAATTTTTTTGCCATTCTTAGTGGGACTGCCTTTAGTAACACTAACCTCACATCCAACCTACAGTCTTTGGGTCACTCACAGCAGCACTGCTCTGCCAGGTCAGCTGATAAATCTATTATGTCAGTGATGGGAAAATTCCAAAGTCTCCCCACTATCATTGACAGCCAACATGTCCAAAGCAGGGCCAGGCCAGGCTCTCAGGCAGAATCCAATATAGAGACCAGGATCCATTTTCTACCAACTCATCTCCATTTATTTCTTTGGCCATCATTTAACCTTGATGCTTCCATGGGACAGAGACAAAGGTAAATCTTACTACATTGGGCTCTGCCTTGGATTTCTTCCATAGTCTGGTCTCCAAGCTGGCACAGACTCCAGCTCCAGATCAGCTCCATTTTCCAGCCAACTTCCCAGCCAATATTGCCAACTCCATCATCCTTTCAATTGGCTCCAGCTATTCCAACTTTGTGGCCTGCTTTCCTGGTGCATAATGCTCTCTACCACTGATGACACCTTTCACTGAACAAAAACCTCTGATTCTCTTTACCTGGATGCACTGTTAGGAATTACTGCTTCTTCCATCCGAGTGAGTAAACACCCTGGACCACAATATTTGTGGTAACTCCCGAGCCCCAATTATACATTGCCTTATCTACAACTTTGTCATTCAGATTAAAGCCAGCATGACATGACTAGAAGTTCTCAAAGTTTTTTAAAAAATAACAAAACAGGGGAGATCTGGGAATTTACAGCCAGTCAGCTTATTGTCTGTTCTACATTACCATACAATTGGTGATATGTTAATCAAATTAAAAATACTAGGTTCATGGAGGGATAAATACCTCACCATGGATTCTACATCAGTAAATCATATTTTACAAATGTCTTCGTTTTTCCATGTATAGATGCAAGCAAGAAGGTGAATAGGATTATGTTTTACCTATAAGCCAGAAAAAAAGTCAAGTAGAAAATAATTTAAGTGCATGGGAACTGAACACTTTGCACACAAGAAAAGGCTATAATGTGTAGTAAAAAGACAGCTGACCTGGTTGTGTAAACTCATGCATGACCTAAATAAAGTTGTCAGGGTTCATTTTATTTCCTGTCTCAAAAGGCACATAGTAAGATTGACTGGGAAGATATTTAAAACAGTGGAAAGGAAACTGTCCTTCACACAGTGCATAATTAACCTGTTGTATTCGTTATTAGAAAAAATGACAATAAAAATAGTGCCATAAAAAACAGTATAGAAACAGAAGTTAAGATAGGCAAGAAAATGATAAGTGAGCACCTGCCCAGCCTAGACGAGTTCAAATCACCAGGACCAGATGGATTACACCCCAAGGTTCTCAAGGAACTGCAGGTGTGATCTCAGAACCACTGAACTATATTTTTCAAAGATCTTGGAGCACTGGGGAACTACCAGAGGACTGGAAAATAGCTGATGTAGTTCCCATCTTCAAAAGAGGGGAAAAAAATGGACCCAGGAAATTACAGACCTATCAGCCTGACCTCAATACCTGGGAAGATTCTGGAAAAGATAATCAAACAACGAATCAGCGAACACCTACAGGCAAACAAAGTCATTACTAAAAGCCAACACGGGTTTGTCAAAAACAGATCATGCCAGACAAATCTTATTGCATTCTTCGACCAAGTGACAAAATTAGTGGACCAGAGGAATGCTGTGGATATAATTTACTTGGACTTCAGTAAGGCATTTGGCAAAGTAGACCACAACCTACTACTTGAGAAGATAGAAAAATGCGGGTTAGACAGCACCACCACCAGATGGATCCGTAGCTGGCTGACCGGCCGTACTCAGCGTGTGGTCCTCAATGGAACTGCATCTACATGGAGGGAAGTGTGTAGTGGGGTGCCCCAGGGCTCTGTTCTGGGCCCAGTGCTCTTCAACATCTTCATCAACGATCTGGAT